TGTGTGTGCTCCGCTGCACGTACGTCCGCGACCGGACGTACCATCCTTACGCTCCCATACGTTCGCCTCCGCACCGATGTGTGCTCGCACTGCGAGCGTGCCTGTCTGCTGATCTGCCTGCCTGATCTGTCCTATCTTCACCGCAATCAATGGCCCAGGCCCAACCGGCCTCGAGCCCGACACGCGCGCGCGTGCGGGGGAGACCGGCGGGAGAACATGAATGTGTTCGGGTGGGTGGGTCGTTTGCGAATACGAGGGACGAGCTCCAAATCGCGAGCCCGGAGATCGTTACACGGAAGAAGGCGAGCAGGCGAGCTAGTGAGCTCGCTGGAGGCAGAGTCGCTACTGCGCCTCTGCCTGATGTGTGTGCTCCGCTGCACGTACGTCCGCGACCGGACGTACCATCCTTACGCTCCCATACGTTCGCCTCCGCACCGATGTGTGCTCGCACTGCGAGCGTGCCTGTCTGCTGATCTGCCTGCCTGATCTGTCCTATCTTCACCGCAATCAATGGCCCAGGCCCAACCGGCCTCGAGCCCGACACGCGCGCGCGTGCTCCCAACGACCACGGTGAGCGGTGAAGATAGGAGGCCAGATCTGGCGCAGATCGACGCAGACGACCCTCCTGTATGTGTGTGTTTCGACGCAGGTGATGTCTGTCTTTGATGAGCTTCACTCGCTGCACTGGGTGAGTCACTCGTTCGCCCCTCCCCTTACGCCCAGTGCTATGCGTTCTTTTGCTGTTTCGTCACAGCTTTCTCCACGGCGTTTCTCTCTGCTATTGTACACTGGTACGCTCTACTACGCTCTCGCTGACATGCCTACGATGTCTGTGTGTTCACAGGCCTTCGATGCGCCCCCCTTGCGGAGGGAGTGTGACGATACCCGCGTCTGCATGCCCACTTCTTGCGCCGCCCGCTTGAGGGCCTTGTTCCAGGACGACCGGCTGGGTTGGTTCGTTTGTGTGTTGGCGCGTTCGCCCGCTTTGGGACGGATGAGGGGTGTGCCCTGCTCTTTGCGAAGTGCGGGAACCGGGAGGGCTTGCCCGGCAGCTGCAGGCGCAGCCCTTGCCCCGTGTGGTCGTTCTTCTGTTTGCGTATGAAGCTGGTGACCTTGTCCTCGGTCGCCTCGACGTCTCCCACTCGCACTCATCCGCCCTTCGCACACCGAAGAACTGGAGGAGGGGGAGGGCTGCATTGCGGACGTTGGCGTGCGTGGCGACGGTTGGTGTGACGCGCCACCAATGCCATACCAGTGGTGGGAGATACGCGGCTGGCAGCGGAACTGTGGGGTCGTAGTCGTTCCAGCACATATCGTTGCTATGGGCCGTCAGGCCTCGCAGAAAAACGCTGCACTTGGTCGCTCGGAAGGGCGGCTCGGGGTAGCCCTTCATGGTGTGCCAGAGGCGAAGGGCTGCGCGGACTTTGGGCAGCTTGTATGCGTGGCCTGGCACCACTGTGGCGATGGCATAAATAATCTTCTCGGGTGAGTCAAGTGGGAAGAGTTGAGGGCACTTGTTGAACACCTCCGCTGCAATTCGACCGTATTCCTTCACTGTAGAGTCCGCGAGACCGGTTTGGAAGCCCCTCCTGGCCACGAGGGTGACTTGCTCCCCGTCTGCGGGGTCGAATCCGAGGCTGCATGGGCATTGCAGGGCCGCTGCAAACGTATCGGGCGACCTGGCGGTGCCAACGTCAACGACTACATCGCCTGATCCGCGGCGGGCGACCTCGATGTATCGCCATTTCTGTCGATGTGTGTGTGTCCCTCTGCACATGTTACTCACTCAGGCGCACGATTTATTGGTCTCGCTTATAGATTTGGCTTGCTCATGCGATCGCCCTGGTCCCGCTCCTATGATTGTCCTCCCCATGCCCTTACTTACACACGTACGTTAAAGCACACGGGCCCTTACTTCCCTGTTCTGTTTCTGCTTTTTCTGCCTCCTGTCTGAAGGCGTCCATCACTCTCTTGCCCTCTTGCCACTCCTGCACCTTCTTCGTCACCACGCCCTCTTGGAGCAAGCACGCCGTGCTCAACGCTCGTGGTGGGACGACGCTGTGCTTTGTGTCTGTGTAGGACTGAGCTAAGCGCAGGCACTTCGCCGCTCTCTGCATCTCTTCCTTTCCCTCAACGAAGCCGAGTGCCACGTGCACGCCAACGTCGAGCAGCTTCTCGCGCACTCTGCTCATGAGGTGACAGCAGCGGAAGGGCGACGACGCCAATCCAGACAGGACGTATCTGAAGCGATGGAACTTGGCCGTGGTCGGCGAACTTAAAGCCGAGCATATCGATTTCTTCTGGGGCCACTGGTAGGTGCAGAAATCCCTCTCTCATGTCCACTTTGGCCTGATGGTATCCTTCTCCAGCGCGTCGCTAATCGAGGGCAGCGAGAGGGGTGGCTTTGAGACGGCTGCTTGGCCTCTTGAGCGCGAGAGGTCCACCACCACCCGCACTTTGTCTGGAAAGCCGAAACTGCCCCGAGACGAGAGACGACCCACAGCGCTAAACTCGCTAACTAATCAGCCTGTCGATCTCGGCCGCCACGTTGTCTTTGTGCGCTTCGACTGACCGATAGTTTCTCAGCTCGACCGAGGGCACCGGTGGCACCAGCGATATCGGCACTCCCTTCTCTTGGCTGCCACGAACGACTCATGGAAACGTATGGAAACCCAACGTCTCTGCTCCTGCTGGTGGCAGCTGACGGCCCCGCACCCACGGTGTGGGTGTTTTGCGTGCGGGCTGCTGTTCGTGAGTGCCCGAAGGGGAGCTCGACGTCTACCGGCAGGTCTGCTTGTGTGTCCTCTTCCATGTGTACACGACACAGAGAAGGGGGAGAATGATGTACGTTGTATGCGTGTTGCGGCAGTAGCGTTTAGATGCCATGTCCCTGCATTCGTGTCACGCACGATGCGACTATGCACTGCATGGAAGCATTGCACGATTGCGATGACTATCACACACAGACACTATTCCACTGACTATCGACTAAACACAATTCGAGAGTCGGCTTCGCGCCCTCGCTGTGAAACTACATGCCTGCGGGCTTGCTACGTGTTGGCCTTCAGCGGACCCTCACTCGCCCAGTGTACCCCGCCGCACCCGGGGTTGGGGCATTTGAGCATGCAATCCCGCGTGCAGTCCTTCAACGCGTGCTTCACCGACGGGTCGTCGGGCGACAGCCGGTGGCCCCTCACGCAGTTGAGGCAACATCCGTTGGGCACGCGCACGTTGTGCTGTGGGGACCCACTCGCCGCCGCTGCTGCTGCCGACGAGGTCGCGCCGCCCGTTGCAGGGCTGCGAGGCACCAGGGCCCTGACTCACACGAGACACACGACGCCCTCACACCCAAAAAAACTACGTGTTTTCTTTGACTCGGTCACTCACTTGGATGGGGCTACTACGACACTCTTGCCCTCGATCCGCTCAACGCGCGCATGCAGATCGGCCACCAATGCCGTGTCGAACACGATGGGATACATCGGCCCGCCCTGCAGCTTGGCTGCACGCTGAATGGCCATCTTGATGTGGGCGCCCACACCTGTGCACGGCACAGGCGACGCATGGACGACGTGTCACTTGGACGCTTCCCTTTGTCACTACTCCCATTCCTTTGCCCACTTACGTGTCGGCCTCCATAGACGTTGGAGACCTCGACGAGTTTTGTGTATAAGGTGGTGAAGCGCGGCGCTTTCTCACGCTCCTCTGGCAGGAGCCCGTTGCGGTACATCTCGCCGAGCTTTGCAGCGTGCGGAGGATGTCGAGTGGGCCCACTTCCTTCACGTCGGTATACGTGAGCTGCAGGCTTCCTGTCCGTGCCCCGAAGACCGTGTTGTCCTTGTCCCTTCCTTTGCGCACTTCGATGGCGAGGGCTGCGCACAGGTCGCGCTGCATGGAGCCGTCTAGGTAGTGGGCGAGCATGTCTCCTTCCAGCAGCTGTCCCTGGGACCGCAGCTGCTCCTCCAGCCTTTTGACCACGTCGGCCAGCCGGCCGAGT